CCTAGGTGGTGAGATATAAACCTCTCACATGGTTGTCCGGTTCTTTTCCCCCGGACCGGGCATGGTCATGCAACACTTTATATAGGAAATTCTCATTAGGCTCTAATGCAATCTCACGTATGGAATGAACATATACACAAGCTTAGTTTGTCATCAACACATCTCTGGATTTCCATACATCTCATAACTCAAGCTTTAAAGCATCGATTCATCGATTCTCCATAGTTGGACATTTTGTCAAACACCTTGAAGGCATGTAATGGAATCAAAGAGCATGGAAAATAGGGTAGTAATTATGCAGCCAAACTAGTGAACAACCTACAACAACACCTTTTTAACACCCACAATACCACATGAAAATCTCCACATCCATTCCAAATTTAGGTTCAAGTTCTAGAGTCACAACATGCTCAAAACAATCACTTTTCATGTTTAAAATTCAATGTGCAGGAAATTATTACAAAGAACAAGACTAATTTATGAATCTTAACTTAAACCATGAATTAGTGAGTAGAATAGAGTCTAGGCACTATGGGTGGAAGGACCCATGAGTTCAACACCACATACCTTGAGTTTTTATGAAGGTCTTGAGAGTGTATTCAATGGAAGCTTGGAACTTGGAGCAAGAGTCTCTTCAATCTTGAGGAAGGTTTTGGATTAGGGTTCTTGAGGGAACTTGAGAGAAAATGTGTCTAAGTATGGGAGAGGTGTTTTGGGAAATGTTTTAGAGATGGGAATTGAACTAATGGTATATAGGAAATAAAATATGTCCTTTGGAAAAATGGTCCAACACTTAGAAAAATAAATGAGGCGGGTGAACAGTAAAAACGCTCACTGGAAATTGCCTTTTCTGCTGGACAGATTTTACGAAAATGGGCATAACTTCTTCGTCCGAACTCTGAATGAGGTGAAATGAAGTGCGTTATGTAGCTAACTCAAAGGTCTTTCCATGGATATGTTATTGGCCACCCAATAATTTGTGTGCTAGGAGATATGACCCTCCAAAGTAGACCCTCGAAAAGGCTTCACTTGGAAATTTCGGATTTTGATACGGTTGCTCTAAAATTTGGGTTAGACCCATTTCCCACTCAATTTGACCCCCTAAACAAGAATATGAAGTTGGATTTTCGAAAAACGAAACAGATTTTTTTTATATTGCTAAACAAGTTTCCGGTAACTTCCGAAGCACATTTTTAAGAACTTTTTGGGTCATTTCAGACATGTTCCTTTAACATGTTCCAGTCGTCAACTTCCTTCTTCATCAACACTTGATGTAGACACGTCAGTCAGTTGCGTTGGACTTGTTCCTTTGACATGTTTCAATCGTCACCTTCCTTCTTTTTCAACAATTCCCCTCAAGCTATTGAGTAGAGGAAATGTTACTCCTAGCTTTATTTGAATACGCAACAAAAAAAACTTTGAATACCCAGCAAAAACTTAATTTTGTCAAAGTTTCGGTATGAATGTGATGAATGTGTCTCTGGAGTTGATATTGTTGTTTCTTCTTCCCATGCCTTTTTGGGTAGAGAATATCATGTTATGGTTTTGTTGTGACACATTTTCTTCATCTTCCCTTATATCAAAACTCGTGAGACTATAAACAAATTGATTAAGGGTGGAATATGGTGTCTTACCTAATATGACAAAGGTCTTGTATTTGAGACCTAAACCTCTAGCAAAATTAATTATTTTTGTTGCTTGAATATAAGTTTTTTTCCAAGCATTCTCACATCTCCTTGGCAGTTGAGCAGCCCACAATTAGGTGCATGTTTTCTTAGGTCAAGCTGCTTGAGATCCAACTCCTTAGTAACACATCTTTCTCCTTCCAATCATCAATGGTGCCACTATCTTTTGCATCCTTCTTAACTTTTACAACTTTCCCAGCAGTCTGTCCAGTGGAACAACTACTTTTACTTGGTTCATAGATGAGATACGTTAGTTTCATCACCTGAATCAATTGGAATATTTGTATCCTCCGGCAATGATTTGGTGAAGTGAGGAGGTTGACATGGTTTCGGTAGAAGGGGTCATTGCAACGTGTGAGTTTTTTTTTTCTTTTGATCAATACTCAGAGAGCGGAAGAGCTTTTATGCTCTGATACCATGTAGAAATCTCACGTCTAGGATTAGAGAAATCAATGATTGTATTGATGAAAATAATGTTGAGTTACAACCTCTTTATATATGAGAGAATTGTTGAGTCTTAAGTTAACTATACTTAGAGTCCTACTACAATACATATTATTACTTTATAATAATAATAATGCAAATATAAATAATCTAATCCTAGTTGTACTATAATCCTAATCATAATCTAATCCAATTAGAAAAATCATTCATTATTTTTTTAAAAGCATGACCTTTAATCGAATTTCATTTCTTTTATATGCATAATGTGCATCAAAGATCCAAGAAGACCAATCTAACCTCCGTCTGGTTAGGCAACACACCAAATCATATAATGTATTATATTTTTATTTTTTTGGAAGTTGTGACATTTTTTCCCAATACACCAAAGTCTCATTTTGGAAGTATAGCACCAAAGTCTCATTTTTTTAAATAAAATATGTGACAATAATTTTCAATAATGACATTGTAAACATGCTTTGAGCTTTTAAACGACCAACAAGATATATTTTAGATATATAGAAATCTTAATTTATCATAAATGTCCCATTTAATTTGTAAGATGAACTTATCAACTCATTTTCATAATTAACACTAAGCAATTTTTATGAAAATAATCAATAATTTTAATTTTGGAGAGAACTATATACAAACTAATTGTCCCTCACATGCATATAATTTTATTCAAACCTTTGCTTCAAATTATATTCATGATGTGGTATGAGAACCTAATAAAGTAGTTCAAAGATCAACATACTTCAAGTCGACCTTATACTTGCTAAAGTAATTTGTATTGACAGTTCCAATTGACAACCAACCGTCTCCAACATATTCAAGCTACTTAACATGATAAATATTTATTAACAAGGCAACCACCAAAGAAATTAATGTTACGAAGTCAAATTAAGTGACGATATCGGAAAATTATCGTTTAAAATAATTTTCACCATGTTTTCTTTGAAATAGCCCTCAAAAGTTGCATCAATATTGAAATAAATATCTTAACCTTAATTTTCGGCTCCCATGTAATTAGAGCACGTACGCATAACAATGGCTTTATTCCTAATACCATGGCTGACAGTTCAACAAACGAAACAAAAAGACATAAAAATAAACAAAGAAAAAAATTGACCAAGAAAAATCTCCATCCATTTCCTTTCTAGTACAAAATCATAATGAACTCTTGAAGATGTCATTTAAGGAAAAAATTGACCTAGAAGAATCTACATCCTTTTTCTTTTCTTTGTGTACGAAATGATAATGGCTATTCTCTTTATATATATACTCCCGCCGTTTAAAAATAAATGATCTAGTTTTCTTTTTTGTCTATTTCAAATAGAATGATTCCTTTTCTTTTTTGGCAATACTTTAATTTCAACTTTCCATATGGCATGTTTAAAGCCACAAGATTAAAGGACATTTTGGTACATTTGACATAACTTTAATTTAAAACCACAAGATCAAAAAATCTCTTTTCTTTTCCTAAACTCCGTTCCAAGTCAATCTATCTTTTTGAAACGGAGGGAGTATATATTTAGGGTAGACCTACTGACTATTCTCTTTTTATTAATGTTTCTCGTACTTCATATACCTTTTTAGTCCTACACGAGACCTTTTAGGAAAGTTTTAATGTCTTCATTTTTTTGTTTGAACACTGTGCTCAATTAAACAAAGAATTTTTTCAATAAGGTGATAAAAATGAGATTCACATGTTGTTTTAGGGTCACAAGTTAAAGGTGATATTCTATTTTATTTTTAAATCCTTTGTTTATAATGTTTCCAACTTTGTGAATAAATTATTTTATCTATAAGATATGTGAGAGTAATCCAAACAAGAACTGTATTGTTATTATAAAATAAGAATTGTTTTAATAATTCCCATTCCAACCACAATCTTCAAATAGGATATTCATGCAATCAATAAAATCATTTAAAATTCTCATTCCTACCACAATCTTCTAATAAGTTATTCATGCAATCAATAAATCATTATCAAGAAAGTTCTTACCAATAGAAGCATCAAGGTTTGAGATTAAACAAGTTCAAATACAGTAAACTCATGTCAAAACAAAATGTATATTATAATAATAAGCAAAAAAAATGAACTCGAAATTTAATTAGTCCAAATACAATATAACTATATCAAAATAGGCCATACCACTAAGGCACTAATAGTTCATGTTCAAAGCAACCATTCATTACTAATCAATCTTCATAAACTCTATTTGATTTAAATAGCAATATAATTAACATGCTTCCTGAAGAAACGGTGCCACAACACTTCAAATGACAACGCAGAAATATACGACCAAAGCATATCAGTTTCCATCATCTATTGGTAGGTTAGTCGATTAGCATTTCCTTCTTTTCAAATTTACAAGGATTTTAAAATGCAAACAAGTTTTTCATTAATCAGATTTTTTTTCATGTATCTGTTAAGTATATCAATTATTGTAACTTATACATTTTATTTTTAAAAAATTTAAAGATTCCAAACCCAAATTCAAAATGAAATTTAAATTATTTGACTCTTAAAATTCAAACTGTGTCACACCAATTGAGATAGATAAACTATTTAATATATGAGTTTATATCCAATAGAATGAATAAAAAATATAAGGTATAAAAATTCAAATTTCTAATAAAAAATCTAAAAGTCAAAATAAAAAAATCAACAAAACAGAATTTCCGTTTTAGATTCGTGTTTTCACAAATTATGCCCACCCCTCGGACCTACAAGGAATGTCCTTCTCAGCACGCCAGAGACACATACATGAACTCGGAGAATAATTAACCGTTTTTTAAATTAGTAGTACTGTACATTCCACAAAATTTTTCTATAAATTCAGAATCCTCCATCCCTAAATTCATCATCATTCAATTAATTATCTTTAGTTATTGATACACACACAAAAAAAAGAAAAAAAGTTAGAGTAATTAATTTAAGAGAGATGGAAGGTGGTTATTTTCTCACATATTTTCTTATTTCAATTGCGTTGATAACTTCTTCTAATAATTGGAATTCAGTTTCCGCCGCAAGGCCATCAGCTGGAGAAACAAATACGGAGTTTATTCGAACATCTTGTAAGTCAACAACTTATCCAAATCTCTGTTTCAGTTCATTATCAAGCCGTTCAAATGCTATTGGAGTTTCTCCACAACTTCTAGCACATGAATCTCTCTCCGTTAGCCTCGAAACAGCACAATCAACATCCGCTATGATGTTGAAATTGGCACACAGTCAAGGCATGACGCCTAGAGAAGTAGGCGCCATGCGTGACTGTGTGGAGGAATTAAGTGACGCAGTTAGTGGAATTAAAAAATCTTTAGGGGAAATGAAGGAATTGAGGGGAAAAGATTTTGATCTGAAAATGAATGATATTCAAACATGGGTGAGCGCCGCCTTGACCGACGAGGACACGTGTACCGAGGGGTTCGCCGGAAAAGTGATGAACGGGAAAGTTAAGACAGTAGTAAGGGAAAAGATACTTGAAGTTGCACATATGACGAGTAATGCTTTGGCTTTGATCAACAGACTTGCCGCTCTTCACGGCTGAAGTAATTTGAAACGACAATTAAATATATATATATATATATATATATATATATTAATGTTTTAATCGATCTTCTTTTAGAAAAAAAAAAGTATACTTAATTCATGCTAAGTTGATTGTTGTAATAGATAAAGATGATTGTTTGTGATGAATTTGTTAAATCAAAATGTTCCATATGCATTTGTTGAAACTTTCGTTAACTCAATGATACACCGTGCATCAAGAGTATTATCGTTGTATGGAGAAAATCATGTTGGGAGCGCCACCCCCAAATGGGCCTTGCAGTGCGCGATTCGAATTTAATCGGAGCTCAAATATAGACTCCGTACAACAGGTGGGAAACAAAAAAAAAAGAGTATTATCGTTGAAGATCTATTCCTCCCCATATTTTACTTTACTTTATGTCATATATAATTAATTCGTTTCAATTTAAATATGTTAGCGAGACTAGGAAAGCAAAATATTTAAATTAAAACAGAGGGAGGAGGGAGTAAAATAAAAGACTAGGAAAGCAAAAGAGATCTACCACTACCGCTTGCTTCTTGTTAATAAGGGAGTTCAAAATTAATATATCTGTGTAATATAAAAAAAATATCTTATATATATAGTTTGACCTTTTACTGAGGGAGTTCGAATAAACCCTAGAATCTACGTGGTCCGCCCTTGGGCGTATGCATGTCGTTTTGCACAAATTGAAAAGTGCACCGAATCAGGAAATATATATATATATCCACAAAATGAACAGGTCATCATTCTCAACTCTATATATCTTTGTTTTGAGTATGTGCGCATGAAAATAGAAAAATCAAATCAAACTATTTTTAAAGCGTTAATATTTGGTTAGATTTTCAATTTTAGTACCTGGATATCGTAATTAATCAAAAAACAACTTTTTTATTACATGTACATACAAAAATATATACTTCCTTCGTTTTAAAAAAGAATGACTTATTTTTTTTTTTTGTTTATTTAGGAAAAATGATTCATTTCTTTCTTTGTCAACATTTTAATTTGTCTTCTACATAACGTGTTTAAGGCTACAAAATTAAAGGTCATTTTTAACTCATTTGACATAACTTTAATTTAGGATCATAAAATTGAAAAATCTTTTTTATTTTTTAAAATTCCATGTCAAGTGAAATTATTCTTTTTTTTTTAAACGGACGGAGTAAATAATACTGTACTAATCTGATTTTCCTTGAGGCCATATTTTCCCAGTAACGTGCGCCAGACCCTGCCCCATATTTTACTGATTTCCCTTTGTTCTCTTTATATTAGTGGTCCTATAACTCCTAACCCTAGCCTTTAGCCTCGCCCTAATTTCACATTTTTGAGCATATAGTATTTATATAGATTGTATTATTAAAAATAAGGTAAATAATAAAATATTATCATTAAATAATTAACAAAGTCAAAATGAGAAGAAAAAATAAAAGATAACATACGATGATAACAAATCGTTCATTACATAAAAAGACATGTTTGTCATTACATAACAATTAATTTAAGAATATTATAGCATAAATTCAAGTAATAATCAAAATAATTATTATATATAAAAAATTAATAGGTATAACAACATAAATTTGGAAACATATATGTTGAGCAGTAAAACCAGACTGGAAGAGCCCTATAGAAGATGAGTCATAACAAAAGATTAAGGACCTGTTTGGTTGGCGGTATTAAATAGAATAGTCTATGAATTAAAATTTAGTCCATTTAATATCTTGTTTGGTTACTTTATTTAATTTAATCCATGGATTGCTTATCCACCATAGGTGGTCTTATTTTATCCCTAGAAAATGGAGGGATAACTAATCCAAGGTTTAACAAACCTTGGATAAGACCCCTAAATGACTAAACTATCCTCTTATTATTTTTCCTAATTTTTTTTTGTAATTTAATTTCCTTTTTATTTATATTGGAATGGTTATAAATGTTCTTTTTAATTCTCCAAATTCATTTAGTGTAATTTAATAATTTTACTAATATTTTTTCTCCATTTTTTTGAATTTTTTTTTATTCAATGTAGTTTGTCGATTAACCACTTGAACTATCTATTTTTTTGTAATAAGCTTTAGGTATTGAATTATTTAAGTAGTATTAAATCTATGTTAAGTTTAAGATATATTTGACCAACAAAAACTTAGAAATACACCATGTCATCAAAGATCTCCTTAGTGGTATATCACACCTTAAAATTAATAACAATTTCTTTTAACTTAAGTTAAATGGAATAGAAAATCCTACAAAAAACAATAATATTGTCCGACGGTTATCTATCTTGACCCAATTATATGAAATAAACAATCTCAAACACAAGGGTATAATAGGAAACAAATGTCTTGTACAGTTTTAAATCAAACACAAGATTAAGTGGGAAGCAACGAACCAAATACATAACAAAAAATTAATGTATGCACTACTAATGCAGGCCATGTATTACTAATTCCTGTGTTATCAATGTTTGTACAAAGGACCCGTAAGAGTCATAGATTCTAGGTAGAATAAAATATGCAATTCTTGTCAATTAACGGTGAAACATGTACTCACACTTTTTAGAGTCCAAAATATTTATCTCGATGAAAAATGGGGGTAAAAGGTTTTAATTGAAATATCCTGTAAATAATATTCTCGACTATTAAATTTAAATTTGTTTTTCTAGTGCCCAAGGACTCTTGTTCTGGATAGAATTGCGCTAGGCATGTTGAAAGATCACAAATTATAATAGATATTTCCACTTGCCACCAATAATTTGAAATAATTTGGTCCCCCCAAAATAAACCCACACAAATTGTTCAAATCGTTGCCCGTTTTAATTCGTTTAATATAGTGGCTTTTCGATGCCAGTTGGTGTGCCTTTCATCAATTTGTCTACTAGGATTTCTCCACTTCTTCCCTACTTTTTGTCATATAAATTATGATAGAGTTATTCCTACTACTTAAAATGACAACCGTTGGAATTCAATCCTTCTTTAAGATAGATGTACTTCAAAATTTTAAGCTAACTTTATCCACTTTTGTACAGAATCATAAAATTTAAGTGGACTAAATTAGGAAACTATCTCAAGTACAAAGTGTCATAGTTATCTTTATGAGCCATATATCCCTACTACAAAAATAATCTTTAGCGACAAAAAATATGAATATTAACAAAGAGTGTTAAAGTCTATCAATATTAGTGAATTGTCATTAAATCTAATGTTGCTAGAGACTTTGGAGACATTTATAAAGAGTATTAATTACCACTAAAGATACATATTTAACGACAATTAAGCTATTGTTGTTAAAGATATTTTTAGTATAATATACAGAGGCGGAGCCAGGATTTCAGGCCTGTGGGTTCTAAATTTTAAAAAGAACAACAATCTTAAAAATCACAAAACACATATTTTGTTTATGAGGTGTTAATCATGTTTGAAAATATTACTTTAGATATTGTTATTGTAAAAACTTGATTTAATAATATGAAAATTTGAGTAATTTATTTTCAAGTTCTAAAATATTGTTAATAAAAAATGAATAACTTTTTAAATATAAATTTTGAACATTTTTACTATAGTTTTCAATATTGTTCTAAAAGAGATTAAAATTATTAGATTCACCATTAATATTTTGGCACCAACATATATTTTACTAGTTTCACTATGACCTTGAACCATTATTGCATTCAAAAATTAAAATTTCGGAAAGCAAACAACAGTTATTTTAACATAATCAATTATCAATATGTGGGATAACCCTAAAATCAAAAATTAAAAATTAATTTTTGAATAGATAATTAAACAATATAAAAGAAAACAAATAAGAAAAAATTTGAAATCAATAACAATATGTGGGATAACCCGAGAATCAAAAATTAAAAAATAATTTTTGAATAGATAATTAAACAACGTAAAATAAAACAAATAAGAAAAAAATTGAAAAACGAGAGGCGAGAGTACATAATGCATACAAGAGGACAAAGGTCGGATGGTAGCAATCACATTAACAATAAAAGTCAGAACCCTAACTTTTAAAAATAAACTTGGGTCAAAGTTTTTTTGAAAGTCTGAGTAGATATCAATGGTTAGATATTGTTTTATAGTATGACACAAACACTATTTTTCTGTTTATTTTTATTTACCGATTTTCTATTTATTTTTTTTTAAAAATATAAATAAATATATAAACCTACTTATGTTATTATTTTAGGTTAGAAATTAATTTCAAAACACTTTTTTCATTTTTATTTTTATTTTTATATATATATATATAAACCCATGTATGTCTTTATCTGCTGTATGTTAGAAAATAATTCCAAAAATACTGTGCTCAGTGAGTTTCGAACCCACGACGTGCTGGCAGAGGGACTTCACTGGTGCACAAAGACCACTGGGCTACACGCCTCGCTATGCTTGTGGAATCGCAGTACAGTTATATGTATTATATTTGATATTTTAATACGAATACTACATCTATGAAAAAGTCAGTGGGTTCGTCCGAAACCCCTTCCACTACAGTAGCTCCGCCCCTGATAATATATATGTTTTTTCATTATTGATAATGGGGCCTCCTTATTATATGCACATCACATGCGTTGAAACTCATGTTTATCCGTGATTTCTTTGTTGATGCACACCACTTTAAGTTTATGATATTTTGTTTCGAATACAATTTAGTGTTTAGATATTTTACACAACTAATTATTTAAAATAGATATAAGAAAAGTGGCCTTTGGATATTTCATTGGTCTCCATTAGAAATACGTTGTGCTATAAAAGTAATCAATATGTATATAAATATCCAGGACCCATCCTCTCCATGAGCAACAAAATATCATTATCAAAGTTTTAATCTTATATTTAATACCATCAAATCAAATCCAAGTAGATACACATACACGTCTCCATATGTATTACGTACACAATTTTGCCATTTAGAAAAAGACTATTGGAACAAACTCGATCTATTCTTTTTTAGTATTATAAACACATATTTAGTCGGCGAAAACGTTTGTATATCCTAATTAATCCTAATTAATATATAAATATATAATAAC